GTAACTGGGGTAAAAATCTGAATGAAGACAAAATAGGTTATTGTTTTCACATGTTTAGCAGGTTTAAGTAAATTCTAAGGCAGAGCTTCATTTTCAGCTGGACCTGTTAACTCACGGTAAACTACATGAGCTTCATTAGGATTTCCCCTCATTCCCCACTGGTTAAATAACGTGCATTAAGAACCTTTGTCCAAGGCCCCTGGAAGATGTTACACTTAAGATGTGTCACATTCAAGTCAATGTATGGCATGATAAGTGAGCAAATAAACCAAAAATTAATTCTATGTATATTATATAACATCTTTGTGGCTCATTTGTATCACACCTTAACATGAACAGAGGCTAGGTCTGATCCATGATAGATCCTGATGCTCAGCTGAGTGTTGGGATCTGGCATTGGACAGTCCCAGGATCTGGGATGCAGCTGTCCCCTGCCCAATAGGGCTGGGGGCAGAACTGGTTCCTGGACCTTGCACCCCCTTCTCAATCCCCGGAGCCAAATGGAGGAGTGGCATGAGCCTGACATCAGGAAGTGCCCCCTCTTCCCCCAGATCTTGGGCTCACTGCATGTCAGACCTTCAAAAAACAGAAGAGCAGCTAGGCTGCACCCACAGATTTTATGGGTCCTGGCATGCTGGAACCTCTCCCTTATCCCAGGGTCCCTGTGCATGGGATAAAAAAACATGTGTAACCCAGACCTGTGTTCAGGGAGAGGTTTTGATTCTGGGATTCATGGGTGCTAGGACCTTTAAAAACAGTGTCTGCAGGCCAACAGTACACCTGTTTTTCTGATATCCCCAGCACCCAGGGAACCTGGGATCAAGGAGCCTCTCCCCAGTACTGGGGTCCCCATGGACCAGGGATGTTAGAAAACTGCCTGGCATGGCAGAAGGATTGTTGTGAAAGGGGTTAGATTCCATTGTGCCTTTAAATGAATGTCTGTCAGTAGCCCTAATGAAGACAAGGCCATGGCGTTCCATTAATTTCCATGACTTTAAAACAGGTTTTATCATAAAGGAAGTATATCTTGCGGATACTTCCCAGACGTGCTCTGCCAACTTTGCCCTTCAGTGCTGATTGGCAGGCAGGGCCCAGTGAGGGAGGGAGGACAAGGTGAAGGAGGAAAAGCATTTACTGAGAAACCTATATCCAAAGAGAGGGAGCGGAGAAACAGTTACTGGCAGCCAACTTTCTTCCACACTCTTGATTTCTGCAGGACAAAGTAGACTTCCAGAGATCTTTCTGAACCAGAGTAGGAAGCATCTAGCTAGCAGCCTTCTCATATAATCTTGATCTCCTTTTTCCATCATACTTTTGAGGAAATTAGCCCTAAGAGGTCTCTCATGTGACCTGGCTTCTTCTGGAGGAGAGGACAGCTGGCAACCTGTAGTTCCCCTATAACAGAACCTACTGGTACATACGACCTTGTGTATATTTTGCTACATGGTAAATTCTGTCTTCCACCATCTCAGCAGATAATACAAGTACTAGGGATCTACTTCAATCATGGTGAGACTAAATTTTTGAAGGTTGGTCATGGCATAAAGAGCATATCTCGCAGATATTTCCCGGATGTGCTCTGTGAACCCTGCCCTTCGGTGTTGATTAGCAGAGAGGGCCCAGTGGGGAAGAAAGGATGAGGGGACGACCATCATCCTGTCCGCTGGCTGCCCTTCATGTAGTCCCAAGCCTTGGTATTGACTGGTGGACAGGCCCTGGCGGGGGCAGAAGGGATGAGGGGGCAGCCACCATCTTGACTACTGCCTTTTGTGCCACCCTGCCAGCCAACACCTTCCCCTCCCTTTCTCTGGGTGGGCTGTAAGGCTGGGCTGCAGCAGTGAGGACTGCTGGCTCCCACTGAAGAGCCAGCATTTTATCTTTATTATGGTTTTTTTAAAGCTGATTTCACAGACAATCCTGGATTTCATGGTTTCTGCAAAATCTGTAAAATTGTGAATTGAGTAGATCCCTAACAATTACCTAACATTCAACTAAACTGGATCTGTTTCATTTGCAGTCTTTTAAAAAAAAATGTATGTGAATACACAAACATGCGCTAAGTAACTCTGGCAAGTTATGACTAGATATTTGAAGATTACATTTTATATATATATGATGTGTGTGTGTATATACATATTTAAATACAGCCAGAATTTTCTTTTGTGGATGCCTAACATACATAAATCATAAATCTCCAGTAGGGAACCCACACAAAATGCTTGACTTTCAAAGATGCTGAATTCTCATTGACTTCAGTGGAAGCTTCAGGTGCTCAGCTCTTTTGAAAATAACATCACTTTGGTTTAGGCTTCCAAAATATGGGCTTATATATACAAATTTAGGCAGCAATATTGAAAAAAGGCTTATTTAAATTGCACTAAATATATTACATTTGTTTGCTAATGATGAAGGCATTTGTACAACTTCAAAGAATCTGATCATTTGATGCACAGAAACCCTGATAGTTTTCTAAGTTCTGTGCAAATTGGGCTTTGGAGACTAACAAATACCTAAGATAAAAGCATCTGTGGAGGTATTGATGTCACAATTGCGTGGAAAATTTCCGTATGAAATTTCACTTTAAGAGATGATAACCCTACATGGAGAATAAGGGAAATAAAACAGAATCAGAATAAAACAATGACAAATAAAAATATCAAAATTACTTTACCATGTTCCACATTGTAGAAAAAAATATGGCCTTGTGTTGTGAAATAACCTACTACAATTTAAAATCAGGTATTTCAGGCAAAGAACCAGGGATATTTTGTTCTTTTTTTTTACAAGGAGTAAAACTAGGAGGAGTACCCTCTACTTTTACTAGAGGCAACATCAATTAGATCTATTCAACATTTCAAATTGATAGCAGGTTCTGCTTTATGACTAACTTTGCAATTGCTTACAAATTCTGGAGAGAAAAACCTATTTTAATAAAATACTCCATTAGATTCTGCATTGAACCCTTATTCCAAAAACTCCCCCCAGATAAAAGGTAAATGAAGCACCTTTAAATCCATTGTGGTCATGGTACCAGGCTGACATTTGTTCCCTTCTGGATATATGCCCTGCCAATCCCTTCAGTTGCACTCAATCTGCCCCTGTAATGCCAAATGGCACTCAAGAGATCTTGGAATGGAGAGAGAACACAGAGCCAAAAAGGCACATAGTACAGCCTTCAGTCTGTCAACATGTCAGACACAGATTGTAAAAGAGAGAAAATGTTCTCTATCAGAATAGAAAGCACCGATTTCTTTGTACCATGCCACATTTATGCCACGTGGAGTCCCAATTAAAGCTGTATCTATTAGCCAGCCTGTTCTTTTTATTCTAGGATCTCCAATTTGTCTTGATTGTGATATGGTTAATCCAGGTCTATATGAACAGCCTCATATTTCTAATTAACAAAGGCTTTGGCTTTCTGCTTAATCATTTATTTTAGCTATCCAGTCTAACATCAGACTGTCTGTCTCTCATCAGTATTTATAAAGCCTAATATTACATTTCTAACATTTCTCTGGCAAAGGGAAAATTATGCTTGGAACACTGCAAATTGCAGTTTGGCTGGCTCAATGTATTTGTTAATGCATGTGGCCCTGCTGCCTCTTACTGAACGTAATGTTAGGCCTTCTCTACAGGTATGACCACATCACACCTGCAAGAGACTACAAGCCCTGATGCAGCTAGAGTTAATGGAAATTCTGTTTACACAGTGGCCATGGAATCAACACATTGGGTAAAGCCTTGCATTTTCTCAAGGCATGTGCTTTTATTTAGCTTCAGCATAAGCCAGCCCCTTATGTCTGAGGCATTTTTATAAGAATGCCAACAAATCTGAGATCTGGCGGAAGCATTAAATGTTGTTGGATGCCAACATAGGAGCAATGGAGAAAAATAAATGTTGTTTAATATAATAATAAATAATGCAATTAACTCATAAAATAATAATAATACATAATGCATTGTTCTCATAATATATGTGATGATATTTCGAAAAGCAATTCAGGCCTTACTAAAAACAATAATAAACATTCTTTTTAAACCCTGCATATATGCAAAAGATTTTGTGGAATAGCTATTTTGTGGAATACATTTTTTCAAGATGAGCTCTCTTGCATTTATGCAAAAGCTCTATTCTTAAAATTATTTGGCTTCTTACTCTGCATTGATTAATCCACAATGGAAGTGAAATAACTATTCAGGAATGAGGGATTTTTTGTTATTTATTTATTTATTTTTAAGAATCACATTTCTGTGAAGGCAGAAGTTACCGTATCTTGGATTAACTATTCAGCTACTGATAGTCCTCCAACTGTTATCCCATATTTCACTGCTTCTTCCTGGATCAACTTATTTACTTGCCTGCCCCCTTGCTCTAATGTTAGTTTACATGTTTCTACTGAGTCTCCACTCCCTCGCCCTGCACCATGGGGACCTTGAAGGGCACCAAAGAGGCATAGGTGACTGGTAGGGGGTGCACGTGCCCCCCCAATGAGGCCGGTGTCCCCCCGATGGCCGACACTGATGCTGTTGGTAGGGCTGTTGCCCCCCCCCAAACAGGGTTGACGGCTTCTGCAGGTGACCCCCCCAGATTGAGGAGGCACCAGTCACTCATGCAAAGAGGTATCTAAAGGCAACCAAGTGACCCTAGGCCCCAACCAGAGGGAGACTCCTTTTGAAAATCAAGATTTCTGTAGCACATCAAATTCAGAGCCAGAGACCCATATGCTGGAGGTGCCCTCCAGAACCCAGGCAGAGAGTAAACTTAAAAATGCTGTGAAGAGGAGCCTTGCTAATAAATATTATATGCTGTCTTATAATACAGCTGAATGCAAAAATTAAACAACTTTGTTCCATATACCAGTTAAGAACTTCTATTTCGGATAGATATGAAATGTAAGTCTCTTTCCATATGCTTGGGTCAGAATACACAAAATGGTCTCCCACAAACATTGCCCAAATATTCTGTCTCCTGCCTCTTTCTCACGCTGTTTGATTATTCTGCTCTATCAGCTGCAACTCCCCTATGCCTACACACACCACTCAGGGTGCCAATACCATAAGGGCTAAACAGTATACATTTTGAATGGTTGGTGTATTAATTGCAGCAGCACCTGGAAAAAGAGAAAAAGCAACTGGAAAAATACTTTGTCTCATAGTTTTTAGCTACCTTTCCTTTTTATGAGGTAAACAGCCAAATTTAAACATTTCAAATGCAGAGAGATTATAAACTATTCAGAGCTATTTTTAATCAGCCCCTTCACTTGCAAAAAACCCTTGGGTTTAAAACAATTGCTGCAAAAGCCTGTTTCTTTTGTTAGTGAATTTTGTGCTCGTTCTTGGGCATTACAGGAGAACCTTAGGCAAAATTAGTGTTTTGCTGTGACATGCACATTGCAAGGCAATGCAACTTTCTCAGGACTGCCCACATGGGTGATATCTCCCTTAGTGTGGAAGTACCTTCCTGGTCAACAGCAGCACTGCATACCTTTCTGTCTTGTCCGTTGATTTTTTTGAACACAGCCCTCCTCTGCCTCTTGCGAATGTGGTTCACAGTAACATCTTCTAACATAAGCAGATCCTGTAGAAGCACATGCATAATTACTAACTTACACTCTACCATTTCCCGCCCTCCTCTAAGCTGGGCATCCCACACCTAGCTCTCTCTTAGTACTAGTATGGGGTCCTATGAAGGTGAGGCAAGAGCGGAAATGCTTTTCAACCTCCAAGTAAACCCCAAATTACAAAGAGCAGAGGGAGGGTGATATTTCAAAATTAAGAAAAAAGAAACCTTTTAGCATTGTTGGCATGGAGATTGATCAGTATGAAGACAATAACTACTTTAATTGTTTCTCTGGAACCTGAAACATAATGGTCATGATCAACAGGAGCTGCTGACCACTTAAAAAATCTCTAAGTGAAGCCAAAAAATACTGAAGAAAGAAATATTCTCTGACCTTGTGAGTGCACATTAGTAAAGGGCCCAAAAGGCAAAAAATGGAGGGAAGAATTCCTGCTACAAAAATTTAGATGCTTTCAAGGGAGCACCTACGTTAGCGGCTCTGAACTGGGGGTACGTGTGCCCCTGGGGGGTACGTGAAGCCTCATCAGAGGGTACCTGAGATATATTTCATACAGCATCTAACACAGGTCAAAGGGCCTAAAAAATTAATTTCCCATTGAAAGGGGGTACGTGAAGTCTCACTCTGAGACCAAGGGGTATGTCGACTGAAAAAGGTTCAGAACTGGTGACCTAGGTGCAGGAGAGTGTGGCTTGGGCATAGAATAGGACATACAGGAAAGACTATAGGAAGTAAGAAGCAAAACAACTTAGCCAGAGAACACTGGGATGTTATGTTTGTGACATGCACCCTATGGAGAACATGTCCTGCACCCTGTGGAGAACACACCATTTTTAGTACCCCAGAAATTAGGCCCATTTCATATTATTTCATCCTCTTCAGGACAAGAATAATTTCCACTGACACACCTGCACACATTTATGAACCTCTCAGTATGGAAATGTTTGTACTCGGTGTTTTATGCATGTTCTACTACGGTCCCGCTGACTTTCAGTTTGCAGTATTACCTTGAACCAATGACAAATTTTAGTATGGAAAACTTGGCTGAGAAATGTCATTGAGGTTCAGCTTGCTCTGAAATAACACTGGTTCCCAGTGTACTGTTTACACAAACACATTTTTTTTTCATTTCTTCAATTATAATACATCCATTTCAACCACTATCCCTTGACTCTCGATATATTTCAGATCCTATTTCCCTGAGCAGATGAGACAATTTGTAGATGCGCCTTCTCTGAACCGTTCATAGCATCCAGAAAGTCCCTCTTTTTGTAGCTTCTCACAGATGCTAGGTAAAACTCAGACAGCATTCATCATACAAAGGGAGCTTACAGCCACAGAGCCTTGTCTTGAGGCATCTCCACCTTTCCTTCAGTCTTCCAGATACATACTGTACTATCATCCAGCAGAAGCAATACATAGACAAACAATTCCTTTCTCTTGCACCCCATTCACAACAGCATTATGAAGCCATTAATGTCCCTAATGATTCAAGGAGCAAAAGGTCTTATTCATTGTAAATAAACATGGCTGAGTTACTAAAACTTGTATAACGCACCTTTCCAGACCAACATACATGAATATAGTAAACTTTTCAGAGATCAACCTCACCTTATAGCAACCTGGAAAAATACTCCTTTCAGGTGATGAACTCTGAGGCCTGTTGTGAAAGGCAAAGGATATGAATCCCATCAATAGCCACAGTTGAATTTAAGATTCCCAACTGTGCAAATCTATCAATAACCATTTGTGCGTTGCTAATCTTTAAGACCTGCCCTCTCCCTAGTTGCATATATTTCCATAAGAACAGCCCCAGTAATACCAAACCAGTGGAAAAATTATGAGAGTCGTTTAGTTTTACCCTGAAAATCCAGAATTTCGTTATGTTCTGGTTGGCACAGCACATCACACTGTTGTTCATAGATCATATTGTTGAACATTGCACTATAGAGTATCTGACCAGACTGCCATGAGGCTGTTTTGAAGAAGACCAGAGCAATGTGTGTACAATGGTTTAC